ATTCATCCCTCAGCAAACCAAGAACATGGGGCCTATGTGCCAGCCTCTGGGTGCTTAAGCGCCAGAAACTGCTTAGAGCAGTTGATATCGTTCAGGAACTCAGTCAAGTTGAACGCGTGCGGGATCGTGGGTATAGCGTTATGGAAGTTATTGTAAGGAGTCTATAAATAGCAGAACATTAGGGACTTAAAAGAGATTGATGCTAGTGGGCTATTGAGTGGTTTTTGCATGTTGTGAGAACCTTTCTTCTTCTAGTGCAGAGCACAGACATATTTCAGTAGGAGCAGCAGCCTAGGAATTCAGGAAGTTTGTGAATTGATCCATCTTCTGGTCATTGTAAAGGAGAAAAAGCTGAGTCCTCTTGTATTCTTTCTATTGTATTTCAGTTGTAACAATTAGAAATTGTATTTCTCTTGTTTTAATGAATCTATTTGGTGTTTTTATTGTGCTTCTAGAGTAGGCTTTTCACTCTTCTTCATGATGATTAAGTAGGATGGTTGAAATGAGGATTGCATAGTGTTTTTTTTACTTTATATGATTATGATAAACCTTCAAAACTTAATTTATATTTCATTTTGATCAAGTGAATTATTAAAATTTGTTGTGAACCATAAGCCTTAGGAAAGTCTATGGTAGAATCAACTAGGTTTGTCACATTAAACTGTGAGATATAGGTTGATATGCTTTATGAGAACATGCAAATGTTAGGGAAATATGCTTTGATGGGTTATTTATGGGATTTATGGGAATAAAGTCATTTCTAGCCAAACTTTTTTATGCACTCGGGAGAGGATAAAGAAGACTAATGTTTCTATTTATCATCAAACTATTCTACTTGCAATTCTCAATTTCATGAAATCCTCTTAACTCATTACAAGAAAGAGTGATACGCCAAAAAAATATTTAATTTTACATATATATTTAAGGTTTATATTTGGTGATATTGCATTTTAAGAAAAATATTCTTTTTTATTGTAGGTATACTAAGTCAAAGCATTTGAAGCTTAAACAATGTAAAAAAGAACGAAATTTAGAGTCAAAAGGTAGCGTTTTCAAAAATTGAACTGGCGCCTAAGCACCAGTATCCAGAGAAGACGGTGCATAGGCGCCAGATTTCGGCACTTAAGCACAAGAGACGGTTATTTTCACAAATGCAAAGAATTTGGACAAACTTTAAAGGGGTGCCTAAGGAGAATGTTGGGAAGTTCGTCCCTACATTATAAAAATGTTTTTATGTCAGAAAAAATGGTGTGTGTGAATGTTGCGTGAGTATCAAGTGTGTGGGAGAGTTTGGATAGTGCTCTCTAAAAGCGGTAAGAGAAGATGGAAAGTAAAAGATTTCTTCTTCATTACATTTCTAAGAGAGAATTGAGTTTTATTGTAAAGAGATAAAGAGATTCAAAGGAACCTCAAGGGATTTGCTTGGGGAGAAGATCGAGTTAAGTTGTTTTACTTTTCTTTATTGTTTTGTAAACTTGTTTTTATATATAATTCATGTTTTGTTGTATCTTTCTCATGAATTTTGAGTAGATTTCTTTGTACTTCTCCCTACAAAGAGATAATGTCATGTGAAGAATCAAGATTGTTGTGCAAGATTTTAATTTAATAATTGTGATGATTCAAACTTCGAATTTCATTTACTTTCCGATCTGAACAATTGAATTGTTAAAATTTGTTGTGAAACATACGATCAATTGGTCATAGTTGAGAATTTGATTTCATTGATGAGAATGTAGTCCATGAGGTTGAATGCAAATAAATAGGAAAATATTCATTAATGGGCGTAAAATTGGAGATTTTAGAATGACAGACTAAAATTTCAAATTTGATCCAGGCATTTGGAAACTAAAGCTAAATGTTCGCCCTCAGGCGAGGAGAACGTAGGAACTCTGGTGTGAGAGTCGGTATCTTCCCAGCCTAACCACGGTTTTAGGGACTAAACCCTGGATTAGTCAATATTTTTTGTCACTTTTAAAAAGGATAAAGAGTATAATTGCTCTTATTTGAAACAATACAATATGATTATTCAATGACTATAAGCTCGTTGTAAGGGGAAGGATACTTTCTTAAATTTGAACTCTTCATCACAAAACTTAGTTTAGTTTTAGTAAATTTAACTTTGAAGTTTAGAAATTAGTGTAGTAAACATAGTTTTTTTAGTGGCATTAAAAAAATTTTGACTTGCTTACTTAAGTTTTCTATAATTTAAATATGTTGTCTTTGCGTTATTACCATAAGAATTTTCACCTCCCCGTGGGTTCCATACTTAGGACTCCATTAGAGCCCTTTATTACTTAAGTGATACGTATACTTGCGTTTGCAACCTAGTGATGATTTGAAATGTTCACCTTAATTCACTAGGAGTGACAGCTTTAAATGTTTTCAAAAGAGAAAACTTATTATACTAAATTAAATTTTATTGTGATTGATCTGCATATTTTCTAATATAACTGTCGTGAGCGTTGTGGTGTTGATAAACATTTATAGCACACACAAAAGTCCCGCATCAAAGAGCGACTAGTGATTGATATTTTCAATGTAATTGTGATAATTTAGGTTTACTTTAGGACTTTTAACTTTTAAATTTCTTGTGACACATTAGGATTAGTCTATAGGACAATTTCAAAATCAAACTTTCAGGCTAAGACTTAAACCAATTGGCTAAAACTTTTCCTAACAAAGATTACCTTATTCTCTGTGGAATTGACATTTCACTCTAAAATTCGATATTACTGATATAACACGTGCACTTGCGTGAGCCCCCTGTGTATTATAACACCAAGAAGTGGTATCGGTAGGTAACTTAAACTTCAGTCCAAAGGGCACTTTCGGAAGGAATAAATGTATACGAACAGACAATCGTGTTCTCCATGAATCAGCATGACATAATCATGGAATTCTCAACTTCACACGTTTCATACGTAGAGTAAAGTTTTAGTAGGTTCACAAATCACTCCCGTGAGATAACAGAATTCCCACATCCATTGATAAGAAAATACAATTTGGGGCCATCGGAGAAAATTAGATTATTCAGTTTATTGGTAGTGATAGGAAGTTCATATGATTTTTCGGTCATCCAGCCAGAGGAGGGCTAGAAATCGATGTCGGCACTTTGATGGCTCAAGTACACTATCAGAGGAAGGCTCGGTGGTGGAAGAGTCCACCATGATTCCAGCGGCTGAACCGTTTGTTGAGATAATAAAAGATCCTGGAGGTTGGACAGGAGAAGACCTAGCAGCTGTACAGGTTCCTAAAAGCACCAGGAAGGACGAGCAAACTGGAGAAAAATCAGGCCGGCGGAAAGGACCTTCAGCAGCTGGAAACACCTGTCAGCCAGTCAAACAACACTCTACAGAGACCAACAGTTGCAGGTCTGTGGTGACAGAAGTCGGTGCTGCTTCTAGAGGGGCTGACGAGGCTAGCACTGAGTCTGACGAAAGGAAGAAACAAGCAGGGAACGCCTGACTTGGTCAACGCAGAAGCCCAAAAAGGGAGGACCTACAAGTGGTCGGCAGCTAGGTTCGAGGCTCTAGTATCAGAAGCATGGCTTTGATACCATGTTAAATTTTGTAAAATATAGTTTCTTTCATTGATAGGAAAAGGGTTATAAATATATATTACAAGACCCAAATAAAAGAAAATACATAAATTCAGAAATCGACTAACTAGGAATGTATATAAATATGGAAACGAAAAATAAAACAAATAAAACCTAATAATAATTGCAACACTAAGCCTAATAATTAGGCTAACTTTTCTAATAAAATATATACCTAGCCATCTAAGAAATTGTAATGGTTTTGTGAAGATAATAATATTAATTTTTATGTCAAATGTTATCTCTTTCATAAAAATAAATGCTTCCAATTTCATCTATTATAAAATTAAAGTTTTTTTCAATGGATAAAAAAATATGATTAAATATAACAAAAATAAATAAATAAATACAATAAATATGTTTTTAACAAATTTATCACGCATAATGCACATGCATTTAAAATAGTATGAAGGATGAGGAATAAAGTAATGTCAACCCAACACGCTGAAGACATCAGCTATTTTTTTTAATTACATTTTTTATTTTTTTATATATTTTTTTTTATTTTTTATATATATTTTTATTTTATTATTTTAAATTTTTTTTTATTTTTTTTTAATAATATCTACCCAATGCTCGACTCTTATAAAAAGGCAGAAGGAACCTATTTACTCCATCAGTTGTATAACTCAGATTTTTCTCGAAAAATAAGAATTTATCAAAATTCTCAAATTTTATCCAATTAATTTGCCTCACTAGAAGTTTGCTTTCAATATTTTCAGAAAGAAGAGCGTATTAGCTCTTAACTGCAAACTTTATGTTTATAAACCAATCCCTTCTTTTCAATACAACCAAGTTTTGCTTTCAAATTTTAAAATCAAGCATCTTTAACAAAAGCAATAAAAAACGTGTTCCTATACTTTTAAAATCCCACTGATAAAACCAAGGTGAATTAGATGTCCACGATATAAAGTAAACCATCGCTAGAAGGAATAGCTCATGTTAATCCCTTGGGTTAAAATCAGGTTGTTTCCTCCCAGCGTTGACCCTCCTTTCGAAACATGAAAATGAATTCCCACCAGCATACAACATCAGTAATCCAGATGAATTTCACTAATTCAGAGTAATAATAACGTGTTTGATAGGTTGATTGAAATATGCATTATTCCTTTATTTTGGAACATTTCCGGTCTTATGGAGAACATAACAAAAATAACTGGCATTTTTTTTTTTTGAAATGATGAAGAGGGAATTAAACAAATGACAAAAAAAAATCTGGATGGCTTGGATTTCTATGAATTTAATAGAAGATTATGACTCCTTATCAAGGTTTTGTTCGCATATGCTACCCAACATTCACATTGTTTATCATAAAATACTACGAAAAATTCAGAAAGGACAGCTTTTAAGAATTGTAAGGGTCTTCTTCTAAACGTCAATAACTTTTCTATTGAATTTGGAGCAGTGGGAGCGAGACGCGTATGATGAATGGGATGACAGCATGCTTACAAAAGAGGAAAAGGATTCCAATGTAAAAAGGAAGGTGGAGGCTGTCATAAAAAAGGAAAGAGCTTTAGCATATGCATGCTCCCATCAGGTATACTCTGGTATTAAGTTTGAAAGTTATGCATTGTTGAGGAAAGCCTGTTACACTTTTCTAGCACTATCAGCATGTTGCAAAGACAATGGATCTTTTGGCTTACTTATGCATGACTAATCAATATGAAAATTTCCTAATAAAACTAATATGTTACAGTAGGCTTTCATGCAAAGGAAAATTAAGGATTCACAAATCATAAGTTACCAAGAAATCCAAAACCTCACTTTTTCAGCTGAATTTATGATGAAATGATATTAAATTTCAATAATTTCAGCAATAGATTGGAAACAATTATAACTAGCTGGCAAACCAATTTATTTCAAGAAAATTGGATTTTTGACGGATCATTTTTCACCAAATTAAAAGTACTAAACTAGACAATAACAAATTACGTAGAATAAAAAGAAACGAATGAGATCACAAAAGTAGAAAAGAACTTTTAGGGTTGAGTAGATTTGCTAGCATAAATAAGTAATCAATTATCATATGATAAGCAAATAAAGAACTTGATAACTAAATAAAATGATAATTAAAATAATTTTCACAGGCTCATAAATAAGAATGCGTCAAATAATTAGAAAATTAACTCAAATAAATTTTTAGGCTTTATGAAATAAGTTTGTAAGCTTTGAATTTAATTTGAATAAATCCATAAATTATATTAGTGTGGACATTATCCTGGAAATGTTTATTAAGGCTTAATCAATCTAGAATGAATACCTAAGATAAATAATAAGCCATGAAAGCGTCTTAAAATTTTCACTTTTTGTCTGCTTACATTATACCATAAAGTTTATTCCCCCAAGCAAGCTTAGTAAAACATTTATGGTATCTATTAAACAAATAAACGGCAAGTAAATACATAGCCGACTATTAGACATTAAAAAAAATATTTAGATCAATAATGAGCCACATACAAGTAATATACCCCATGGAATCAACAATAACATGAACATCCATGGGTAGCACATTGTTGATCCCCTCGCATCTACTACATAAGGTGAATCGAGAAGACGTGACAAAAAAGACATTCATCGAACATGTCACCACGTTGGATGAATCCAAATCACCTTGGTCATCATCAAATCTACCTAATCGACATTCCTCATAAAATTGAATATGGAAACACATCCAAAGCATCAAAATTATGCAAGAAAAAACCTTCTATAATCGAAAGGACCATGCACAACAAAAACAATAGATTATTGGTGCAATGCGCATGATTTGGACCCAAATTGCCTTGATTAATACTAAATTGCTCAGACATCATTTGATTGTAAAACATACTGCACAAACATATTCGAAATGTCAAAAATATCTTAGAAGAACACTCATGTTATCGGAGACCATGCAAAAATGTGAAGCGCAAAATACAAATTTACAAGGTTGATGGCCGAGAATTTGAGACACTACAAACAACAATAACAACAATAACAAGCCTTCATCCCACTAAGTGGGGCGGCTACATGAATCTATTTCTCCTTTGCGTCCTATTAAGTGTCATATTTTCATTTAATTCTAATAAATTAAGATCATTTTTATACAATATGCTCAAGTCTTTCTAGGTCTATATCTGCCTTTTTTAAATCTGCCTTTTTTAACATAAATTTTAACATAAATTGAATCTAAAACATCTACTCTACTAACTAGATCATCAGATGGTTGACATTTAATAAGACTAAACCATCTAAGATGACTCTCTCTAATTTTATCCTCCACTGAGGCTACATCAACTCTATCACGGATATATTCATTTCGCATTTTGTCTCTAAGTGTCAAGCCACTCATCCACCTAAGCATTCTCATCTTGAAAACACTTAACTTGGTTTTATAATTCCGCAACATTCTGAGTCATAGAGCACTGCAGTTCTCATCTGTTTTATAATTCCCTTTTAAAGGCCAACATTCTGAGTCATAGAGCACTGCAGTTCTCATCACCATCTTATAAAATTTTCCTTCTAGTCTAAGTGATACTTTTTTATCACGCAATAGGCCTGATGCATTCCTCCACATCAACCAACCAACTTGAATTCTACTAATAACATCCCCATCTATATCACCATCACTTTGAAAAATATACCCAAGATATCTAAAGTGATCACACCTTTAATGATTTGATCACCCAAAGTTACAACTCTGCCACAACTACTAAAACTACATTCCATATATTTAGTTTTAGGTCTTCTCAACTGAAGGCCTTCATTCTCCAATGTAAACCTCCATAATTTAAGTTCTCCTGAACTCTTTCTCTTATCTTATCCATAAGAAGGATATCACAGCGAAAAGCATACACCAAGGTACATCCTCTTGTAAATGTAACTAAAGCAAAAAGATACGGGCTTAAAGTTGATCCCTGATATAATTCAACTAACATAGGAAAATATTGGGTCAATCCTCCTTCTATTGGAACACAAGTAGCAATTCTAGTATACCTATCTTTAATGACTTGAATATAAGTCATATCAACAAGTTTTTTCTCTAGAACTCTCCAAAGGATTTCTCTTGGAACCTTATCGTAAGCTTTTTCTAAATCAATAAAATCATATGTGGGATCCTCCTTATTCTCTTTGTACTTCTCTATCAAACCTCTCAATAAAGGTGTAGCATCCATAGTAAATCTGTCCAATATAAATCTAAACTGATTATGAGAAATCGTTATAACACAACAGAATTTATGTTCAATTACCCTCTCCCATTATTTTAAAGTATGATACATCAACATAATTGCTCTATAATTTGCACACTTTTGTGCATCATTTTTATTCTTAAAAAGGGAGACCAAAATACTCTTCCTCCACTCCTCAAGTATCTTTCTAGTTTTTAAAATATTTTTAAAGAATTTAGCAAGCCAACAAACTCCCAAATCTCCTAAATCCTTCTTCTCTTCAAACACAAGTAATAGCTCTAGTATACATATCTTTCATGACTTGAATATAAGTTATATCAACATCTTTCTTCTCTAGGACTCTCCAATGGACTTCTCTTGAGACCTTATCGTAAGCTTTTCTAAATCAATAAAAATAACATGTAGATTCTCCTTACTCTCTCTATACTTCTCCATCAAACCTCTAAATAAATGTATAGCTTCCATGGTACATTTTCCTGACATGGATCCAAACTAATTATGATAAATTTTTGTATCACGTCTTAACCTATCGTCAATTACCCACTCCCATAATTTTAAAGTATTATACCTTAACTTAGTTCTTCTATAATTTGCATACTCTTGTGCATCCCTTTTATTCTTAAACATGGGACCAAAAGACTCTTCCTCCACTTTTTAAGCATTTTTTAAGTTTTTAAAATAATAGTAAAGAGTTTAGTAAGCCGAGAAACTCTCAAATCTTCTAAATATTTCCACACTTCAAATAGGATATCATCAGGTCTACTGATTTTTCACCCTTGAACTTTTTTAAAGTCTCCTCAACTTTTTTTTAATTAATGTGACGGTAAAAATAAAATATTTTATTATTATTATCAAAATTGAAATCATTAAGCTTAATTGTATTTTCAGAATTTCATTGAAAAGTTTACCAAAACAACTCGTCCACCTATGTTGAATATGTTTCTCTGAAAAGCACCTTTTGACTTTCATCTTTAATACACTTTGTTTGAATTAAACTTATACTCTTTTTTCTCTTTGTTTCGTTAGTTTATACATAAATTTTTCACCCTATTTAGTATATAATTTATTATAAAGATCACTAAAAGTAAAATTCTTAGTATCACAAGTTATTCTCTAGACTTCCCACAAATCATCTCATATTATAATATGATGATAATATAAGAAAATTTTAGTAAGAATTTGAAAATAATTAAAACTAGAAATCAAAAAAATTAATTTTGTCGAAATCAATTTTATAATAAAATCAAGATCACTAAACAAGTTAATAACAAATCAAGTAGAATAAAAACTCATTGAAGGAAAATACCAAAATATAGAAAGAACAAGCATAATATTAACTTCCCTTAAAAAATTGTAGTTGCACTTACGTAATGCCTAAAAGAAGTATATCTAACTCACACAAAATGGAAAACAGAAAAATCAAATTAATTCAGCACAAAAATTTTAAACACCATATCTCAAACCACTATTTATCGTTCTCATAACCTAGGTTAATAAAAGAAAATCGGCACAGAGTTAGATTAATTTTTTTTAGAGTTAGTTTAAATTTAAATAAAATTAATCTAAGAATAACTTTTAATTCCCAAAACAACTGATTAGCCTTAAAATCAATTTAAATTGTAATAGTTCATACCAATTCCTTATTCACAACATCCCATCCCTAAACGATAAACCACATGAAATAGTGTCCATAAACCAAATAAAAAACCCACAATAGTTCATACAAACCACAAAATCATCCCAATGCACATGAAATGACAAAGGCATAACTCCTACAATCCACATCACCACTTTCCTTACAACCAAAACTTGTCAACAACAAGCATAATTTCACTGCAGCGCCTACTTTAATTTTTTTTAATGCATAATTTGAACAACACCAACCCAACAGTAGCCCTTCAAAATAGTCACCAATCTCTATTATTCTATGCAATATGAAGATATAATGAAATCATTCATTGCCTCCTTAATATGAAGATATAATGAAATCATCCATGGCCTCCTTTGTGTATTAACCTAACTAAATCAAGAATAAAATCATACCAATAAAATAAATCAACATAAAGCTAGCAAACGCCTCGCTCATACATCATCACAAGCATGCGTACAAATAGAAATTATACATAAAAAGAACTAACAGCTAAATAAATCAACTAAAAAAATACATAAATACATAAGAACGAATATTTGATGAGATACTTCCTACAATTATACGTACAGAAATTTCAATCACTTATCAAGTCTCATGAATAAGACTCGATGCATGCTAGAGAAATTCCAAACTAATAAATCCAATGGTTCTGTGTGACCATGTAAATATGTACATTTACATGTGTTGTAATATTTTTTTATACAATAAATGGACTTTAAGAGCAAGGTAAGGTAAGAAATAGTGCCATACAATAACTAATTTTCTAATTGAACAAAATCTGCAAATAGTCAATGAAAAAAATCATGCATATACACAAAATAAATTAAAAGTTCTATGAATTGCAGCCCGCAAAAAGGACCTCCAATGCTCAATCAATAGCATAGCTTGAAGGCACAGAGTTATAACAAATTTAAAGAGTTTTACATATACTAAGCAAAAAGAGGATCCTTTACGTTAAGCTTTTGGAGAGTAGTATTCCCTTGGATACAATGGTGAAATATATGGAGAGATAAGTCGTACGTCTCCAAGATCTATTTGATCAAGAGCACTATGTCTCACTTTAACAGAGAGTGGAGAATCAAACCACGTGAAAATTGAGTCTTTTCATGGACCACAATGCACTTAACAATGAGACCCTAAGGGCTTGTTTAGAATCAATTTTGCTTTTTGTTTTTGTTTTTTATTTTTTCTTTTGTTTGATGTGTTTTTTTTACATGTTCTTATTTAATTTTTTTTAAAAACAAATTAATATGTTTTTGAAACGCAAAAAACAAAAATTAAGTATTTTAGTGTTATAAAAACAATCATATCTTAATCAAACATACCAAGCATGTTTTGTTTCAAATCAAACACAAACAAAACAAAATAAAAACAAAAAATAGATAACAACAATTAAAAGTGATCCCAAATGGCCCCTAAGCATTTAGATTACATTTGAAAAACTATATGCAAATGGATTCGAGATTAGTTTCGATGGTGGTATAAATTAGACAATTAGATCAATGCTAACAACTCCAAAAGCAGCACCTAAGAGTTGTTTTTGTACTGAATTCAATTGGCATATTGACATAAACCTTAACATTAACAAGCAAAACAAAGCAGTGCAAGAGCTAGAAAGATAGTTATCCTACAGAACATAATACGAAGCATGATGCCCTTGATAAACCGGCTAGAATTAATAAGAAAATTAATATAAGAGCCGCATAATGTTTAATAATCTATTATTCATTGAGCGATAAACTAATACAAAGTTACAGAAAGGGAAAGAAGAACAACACTTATTTCCCAAATTGACAACTCTACCGACATTTACCTACATTTACTGATACAATTATGACTTCAATCCTACGAACAGATTTTTATTTTTTATTTTTCGGAAAAGTCCAACTTCAATAAACTTAACGAACACAAAGATTTGATCACATGACGTACCTGATAATAAGGCAAAAAAAAAATGAAATATTGGAAAAAACCTCTCTCTTCCAATATGGGATTCACTGACACCTTCCGATTGCCTGCAGTTGCTAACAACAACGCCGAAGGCCGCCAATGCAGCGCTCAAAGACGCTAGGTCAGGGGGGGTCCCAGCATGGGAGAACTGGTTCGAGAGCCAGATCACCTCGGTATCCCGCCACGCAAAGACACCGGAGCAGCCGACCCACAGACCCTCGTCGGCTGCTACAACCGCCGGCGCCGCCCATCAACGTCTCAGCAGCCGCAGCAAACCACCAAAAACCCCTTTCGACGGCTCCACCCCTCGATTCTCAAAGCCCCTTCAAACGCACAACTCATCGAACAGGTGGCAGGCCACTCACATGAGACCCACCCTCAGGGACGATGACAGCCTCACAAGCTGCCCAGCCTTCACGGCTCCGCTTGCCGCGTCGGGAATATCAACAACAGTGGTTCCGAATTACATGGCTCCCACAGTTTCCGCCAAAGCAAAGGTAAAGGCAGCTGCAATGGAAAGCGGCAGAGGAGCAAAGGAGGGTAGGAGGTTTTCATTTGCACTGAGCCAGAGCATCGGGTCCCTGAAACTGTTCTCTGCGATGAAAATCGTGGCTCCGCCAGTTCCTCCGCCGAAAGTGGTCAGCGGCAGGCACCGGTCAACGCCTTCGGTCGGGGAACTGAGCGTGGATTCCACCGTCTCCCTCCCGGCTGGCATAGGAAGGAGACCTTCCAGGGAATCCTACAATGCCCGTCCAGCATAATGAACAGGGGTTTGTGTGCTCTTTCTTCAGACTGGTTTCATTTCAATGTTTTTTATTAATTTAACAATTGATTTTCCTTTTTCTTGGGTCGTGTTTAATAATTCCACCCTTTCTATTGCACCTCCGGATTGAATTTGTATGTCTTTTTTATTGGTTTGAGATTGTGCTTAGCTTGACAATAATAATGCATGCTTGGAATAGTATTTGTGCTAAATGATTACAGCATCAGATGCAATTTAATTTGTGTCTTATTTTTTTAGAGATTTACATACACGCTTATATTTACAGTCAAATTTTTTATATTTATTTTTATAACACTCAAATTTTTAAAGCACATAAAAATACAAATAATAGTTATTTCTTTTTTAAGAAAATCTTTCATGTGTGTGTGTGTGTGTTTGTTGAGACATGAGAGTGTTATATTGGTAAATATTAAAGTTTATGTGAATTTTAAATTAATAAAAAAAAGTATATGTTAGATATAAAAAAACATAAAAATAATGTGTTATATATGTAAACCCCCAGTTTTTTTTCTTTTTTTTATCTCAAAGAATAAATACTTATAACAATAATATCATTTTCATTATACTCGTGCTTTTAAAGCATTTTTGGCAACACCATATCATAGATTGCTATTTTGCCCAAGATATTATATGAAGGTTCTTAAGAAATTTTTTTGGGGCTATCATTAAATTCTTGTACCTTCAAGGTTATTTTTTTTCATTTTTATCGACATTATTTTTACCCTGTTGCTGCATTACTCTTTATTTTGCTCTTTTGAAATCAAAAAAAAATCAAGCAAGAGGACAATAAAATAAATAGATCAATCCTTAGCTTTATTGATAGCATTAACCTGAATCTCAAGATTTAGACAAGTATCTAAGAATTTTATTTCCTTGCTCAAAGTTCGAATACTCTTCTTCCTGAAACTGTAAAGTAACTATTATCATAGTGAATCCTGCAAATTCTTTAGTTGTAATCTTGTTAGGTTTCATTCAAAAGAATTTTTAGTGAGGCACAAGCATTGTTAATGTTGTTTAATCACATTTGCACTCACATATGTGATACTAAAATGATCCCAAATCTCTCTTTTTTTTTTTCTTACACATTTACACAAACATATAAATTATTAAACAATAAATCATAAAATAAATAACTTTGTTAGCGTATGATTTAACACTACTAATTCATGGTCATTAGGTACGTCTTCGGTTGTTATATGCAATTTTAATAATTTTACGATTTCCTTATGATCAATTTTAATTTTGATTTTTATTTTTCTTTTTTTCTTTTTCTTTTAAAAATATGTTTGTTTAGTGTGTTTTTTACATTCTTTTGTTTTTTATTTTGCATGTTTTAAAAATACCCAAAAATAGTTTTTAGGTCTTTTAAGCGTTATTAAAAATAATCATACTTTAGTCAAGTAGTCAAACATGTTTTAATTCAAATTAAAATATAAACAAAACAAAATAAAAATAAATAATAAAAACAATCCCCAAAAGGTCCTTTGGCATCCATAAATTTTGAAGGATATACATATAACCTACTTCTACTAAGTTTTATAGGAAAAATTCAATACACATTTGCACTTTCAAGAAATTAGATAGTTTATCATCATAGTATGGAGTTTTGGTAATACAATGTCATTCTATTATAACGTTACTTTCAAAATGTCCCATAATAATTTTAATTTAGATTAGTACATAAAAAGCTTAGTCTCATGCTAAGTAGATGTTATAAGTCACCTAAGATGAAGAAAAATTGGATATGTTAATTTTTTTTATGTGACAAAAAGGTTTATTTAATAATTTATTTATCACATTGAAATAATATATAAAATAAATTTATCCCTTTGAATACAATAGTTGCATACACCAATCAATTTAAAATATCACTCTTTTTTTATGTTTTATGATGACAAAAAAATATATCATTCAAGAATTTTCAATTAGAGATATAATAATGAGGTAAACAAAGCAACATCATATATTAATTGAACTTTGGCTTTTACTCTTTTTTTTTTCAAAATTAATCTCGCAAGTAACGAATAATTTTATTTAGAATTTTAAAAGAGAAATAAATTTTAATTTCTTTATTATTTTCTTTTCGACTCAATACTCTAGAGGAATCAATATCTTAGAATATTGAAATTCAAGGTCAATAAATGATTGTATAACCAAAAAAAAGATAAAGAATATTAAAATTGTTATAAAAATTAAGTGAACTAAGCTATAATAGTTCGGCCTCCTGTTCATCTAGCATCCATTCTTTTTGTCTTTTTCTCAAGTTTTTCTTAATAGTCTCTACTTCCAATATAACGTGGAGAAATCTTTCTCCATTATGGGTATTGGAACCACCTTACTCTTCTAATAAAACTGAGAAGTACTTTACTCATAAGATAATCAGTTAGGTAATAATATTTATTTCAATGGATGATACTAACCACTTTTAGTGTAACCTACTATCTATTCAATACTATATAACATTAATCGTTTGTGATTAGGTATTACTTTCCTCAAATTAGATAAATATTTCATCAACATTCAAATACACATAAGTTTCAACGGCTAAAAGAGGAAGATAATTTAGATTAAAAAAATGCATATCTTGTAATTTCTATTAACAATATCTCTCTTAGAGTCTACAAGTGAAAATTTTTGGTCAATTATCTATAATTACACTTATAGTGAGTACATGATAACAAACTTTAACCTTGAATTAAATGAAATCTTTGATTAATGTTGATTCAAACTTAAACATCAAGTTCTTAGCTACTTGCATAGTATGATATGATCGTACAGTAAAATGAATTAAATTCTCTAATCATTTTTTGTTTGCTCCATTAATAAGAATGTTTAATAATTTTAATTTAGGATACATATTATATAGATAATCATTATCGCACAATATGATTAGTTTATATTTTAAATTATTTTATTGAATGCATAAATAATCTTTTCAATCTAATTTTTATTATAGCATATTTTCTTTTATGATTTCTATCATAATATATGGTAGGATTCATTTTGAATTTTTAAATAAGATTCTCTTGCTTAATTTAGTTAATTTCTTAAATATAATTATTGTTGTATGAGAGTTAACTAAAATTTTTCAAAATTTTTTCTTAATGCTTGACATTATGATGGATTTTTGGTTCAATCAAGGTAATTATGCAATTTGATTCACATGAGCTATAAATACACTTTATTGCGTTTTTTTCTTGATTTATTTTAAGATTGGCCTGAAGTAGTTGAGATCACTCCTACTTTAAACATTATTGAATTTTTATTACACGCTAAGATTTAAGATCATCAGATTTGTAATTGCAAATTTATGCTCATGAGGTTAATAAGAATAAACTCCCAAATGTCATTTACAAACTAATTTGATCTACAACAAAGCATAAAACTCAATCAATAATTTTTCTTATATTTCTTGTTCATGCAATTTTTAGTGGAACATCAAAAAAGAATTCCTTTTAATCTCATTTATTTCTTATTTCCATTCTTCTTGTTGATCTTTGACGTGCAAAAACAAACCACAAAATTCTTCTGCATGAAAATAGAGAAAACGAGAAAAATATCAAAAGTTTCTTCTGGAGTGATGAGGCCTACTGTAGACCTCCTTTTTGGATGACGTATGTCTTCCTCTTCTAGAACTTATCATCTAGCCATAGGGTTTTCTATCTTGAGTTTCCTAGGAGACTAGTGGTGGGGCCTATGCCAATTAGAAAATCAAGCCCTCTTTTGACACTTTGTAGTCTCATATGTGTGGTTCAAAATCCTCAAACACTTGGTTGATTTAATTAGAACTAACATATTAAAGCTCAATTTGAGTTCCTATAAGGATTGGTAATGCCATAGGAAAACTCTTTGTGACATAGGGTTTCATCATTTTGGAGTGACATACACATTCACTCCACACACACTTACAATATACGCACAATTACATCAAATTTAAATTCAAATAATCCCCACACTCACACATGACTCTAACCCACTCGTGAACCACTCCCTCACCAAAATTAAGATCAAACCTTCAAAATTCCCATGAGCAACAAATACATCTTAGTCAACACAAATCCACCATCAAATTGAAATCCCCTCCAAATCATCATGACAAATTAATGACCCCATGAATCCCAAAAGGCCCAAACCCAACCTACATAACCATTTTTTTTTAAAATAAAAGCCCACCAAGACAAAGCCCAAATCCAAATTCAATTAAAAATATAAGCCCATAGTCTCATGATTTTAAATGGCCAATATTGAGCTCATGACCGAGTGACATAAAAATTTCACAAATTACCAAAGTTCACTTCCCTTTAACTTATGCAAGCCATATGGCTTCAGGCAAGCCAAGGAGCCATGCATAAGCCACACATGAGCCACCATACCACTTATAGCTAAAGCAGGATCCTCTTTCAAGGTCCCTTTAAAATTACTTAACCACTCCCATGATTCACCTAAGCTCATGATTAAACCCTAATTTGTATGATTAGGACTTGACCATTCAAGCCTACATGCTGACCATCAGGCTGAGCCACCATGGAAAGCGAACCAAGCCCATTTGCATGAATCAAACCCATGGTTGACCAAAAACCACCGCAAATCCTTTTCACTTAAATCAATCCCATGTACACATGGCACCACCCAATTGACTTCACCAATCTTCACCACTGACCTCCCACATTGACAACACAAGATCCACCACCCCACCATGGCCGGTGGAAAGCTCAATACCAAGAACCACCAAAAGGGTAAAAACCAAAATTGAGCCCATCCAATGTGGCTCACCCCCATTGGACCTTTGTCCCTGTTATCTCTCCACCTAAGCGCTACCTTGCACCCCAAACCCTGATCAATTGAAGCCCCATGACTGAGCTTATAAATAGAACATCTCCATGGCCAAAAATTGAAGGTGTGCACGAACCTTGATGAAGCCCCATTGAATTGTCTCCAAATCACTCATACACTCACACGAAGCTCATCCCCATCATTTCTTAGCTCTCAAATTGCCATGAAACCCAAATTTCCCCATTAAAATCCATTACTTTTTTGGCCATAATTTCAACCTCTCCAAAATCCTAAACTGATTGTTCTGAAAGCTTCCCCACAATCTAAAAAAACTTCCCCAATCAAAATCCCCCT